GAAAAGGTCCGCGAAACGACTCTTCGGATCCGACGAAAGCATCGATAGAGCCGGCAAGCTGGCAGTGATAGGTCAACCGATCCGTAGAATTGAACCTTGATCTACGCCCCACCCGAAGAACTATACACATGGTTGGCTCGGGACTGGGGATATCCATCGATTGACATGTCCAACGGTCGAGTGGATCTGTTTACCCGCAGCCGATTCTCGTGGACGACATGTTCGACTAGGATTTAAACCAACGCGATTGATCCTCTCTCTCTCTCTCTCTCTTTCTCTCTCTCTCTCTCTCTCTGGACATGGTTTAAACTCGGTCGTTCAGTATCGTCTGTGTACTACCACCGTTCATTTGATTTTCCAATTAAATGCCCCTTGCCCTGTGGCTTGTTAAAAGCGCAGCGTCTCGGCCGTCTCTCTGTATTAAAGATCACCTGATCGAGACACGGGACGAGTAGATTCAAGCAAATAGCAGAAGAGGAGAGGAAGTTTCGAATACAATAGACTGTTCGCCAGTGTGTTCGTTACTCGAAAAAGAGATCAAAGTTGTTGCCGACTGGTGAACGATTGCGATCGGCGGCACATCTCGACTCGAGAGGGAGCCGAAACATTCACGAAGATAACATTCACGGAGGGGCTCAGGAATTTCTTAGTCGTTGTAACGGACCAGGGGACACAGTCGAAATAATCGTGTTACCTCGTCCGGTAGATCTGAACCGGCTGAATTCACCTGGAAATTCCGACTATCCATTTCGGCTCGATATAATCCCCGGGTTTTGGAACCCGGCTGTCGAACGCCACTTTAACACACACCGAGAGACGCCGTGCACCTGACAATTGTTAACAGAAGCGCATTGAAAGGATCAGCCTTATCAAGCTGCTGATTGACGTCTCGTATCAAAGAACGGGGATATTCAACGAACGGGGGAGGCCGGTGGGCAACGTTTCAAACAGCATATTCATCGATCTGTACTTCATTGATTAAGTGGAACAGCCGATGTTTCAGCGTGGGTGGTACGAGGCTCCTACTGACCATATCTAACCGGCGGCGTTTTAATCGATAGGATTACTCTGTCGCACGCCTGAACTCACCATCTTCCCTGCAATTCCTCGTCCGTGAAACGCTTGTTATTGATCTAATTTTCTTCGGTGTCCCCCACCTCCTCCCCCTCCCCCTCCCCCTCTTCCCTCCTCCTCCTCGCGATTGGCCCCTGGCGTACCGGGACAGTCTCACGCCGTGGAAATTCCCGCGGCAGTTTTTTGAAACGACGCGCAATAATTAGAAACGAGATACATACGCCCGATAACGAAGCGTTTGTTCCAATCTGGACCTCCGTGGCCATTGTACGGAGCAATTTCCGGAAAATTCGAAACGGCATCCGTATCGGATGATATTAATAGAGTTGAATAAAAGAGAAAAGGGGGGGAAAAACAGAAACAAAAACATTCGCGGCTAAATATGCACGGGACGAGATAGATGTACGTACATATGTTAAAATTGCACCAGTAACGAGCAGTAAGTAATTTGCATTGTAATTTACGGGATTCGATTGTGAAAGAGCTTCCTGTTCGTCTTTGATCTCTGCGTGAGTCGAAATTACAATTTAATTGCTATTACAATTTAATTGATATTAAATTATAATATCATTTATATTAAATTGTAACATTAATTGATGAATCGGTATCACAGAGATACTGGAGAAGATGCAACGTGACCGATGCAGGAATAAACAATCCACGTTTGAAGATAAACTGTTCGATTCGTTATCGATGATAAGTAGTAGCGAGACAGAAGTTACCAATGCTGAACGATTCGTATCTTTTTTACAACAAAGATTCTAAAATTCTACTTGAAAACTATCGCTTGATCTTTGACAACTTGACTTTGATGCATTTGTAGAAAATTTGAAAGTACAAAAATCAAATATCAAATGTTCAAGGTACAATGTTTCTTGTAATATTTTATAGGTAAAGTAATCTTTTATCAATTATCTTTAGAAAATCATCCGCATTCTCCTCACATATATGTAGAAATTTTGGTAAAAGATGGTTGTTTATTTAAAGTTAAATAAAGAAAATTCGTTTAATAATGATTATAAATTGACGTTTTACTCAATATTCACAGTTCTCTCTGTCTTCTCGCTTTCGCGGCTCGCAAACTCACTGCCTTTTTCCTCATTTGCACAAAAATTCGTCATTCATACGCACATCCACGCAAACGCATCCATTAATATCTTAAATGCTAGGCCTGGAGGGCTAGCCATAAACAATCCCAAGTCCCAGGCTTAATCTTCTCTACAATGCATTTGGGACATCTGGCTACCATTGTTAGACACTGGAGAAAGTTCTGGACCCAGAATTCTTCTCAGAATTTGCCCATCCCACATATAATTATTACAATCCAACAGCGAATTTCGTCCCTCGAAGCTGTTTTATTATTTATTTTATTAGCTCTTAAATAACGCTCTTTCCTCGACTCAAATATCCCCACCGCAGAATTATTCAAATAACCTTCTCGTATTTAATATTCTTGCATCCCGAAGTACGCGATATTTTTTAACGTGAAAAACTATTACCGCCTCGTAATAACGATCCCGCGCAAAGTTCGAGATTAAGTCTTAAGAAGTCGAAGCTCAAATAACCAACCCTAACCCTACTAATATTTCCTCGCGAACTTCTCTCTTCCTTCTTCTTTCAGATTTTCGACTTAACGTAAGGAGGAGCTTTGAGGATGCATTTCTATGTTTTCGCAAATCCCAGAATCCAATTTCCCTTTTCCGAATTCCCCCTGCCTATTTATCTGTCTTCTATCGTGGATGAACGATCGCCAGAAGAAACACGCTACAGTTAATCAAAGAAGAACGGAAGAAGAACATCGGTTGATATTGGCGAAATACAAGAGAACGAACAGTAGCTTAACAGAGTCCGGTCCTTGTGGTCCTCGTGTTCTATGAGGATTTAAACTAGACGCGCCCTCCCGGCTCTCAAACCCTTTCCCCTGTAATTCCTGATCCGGATTTGAATTCTGGCGTATCCGGTCGGCTGCGCGAGGGTTTCCCCCGCTCGCGCCGATGAAAAGACGTTTTCCCTCGTCTTCCACTCTGTCTTCGTAAGCCATTTTCATTCGTATGAGACGATAAATCCTCCGATCAACCGGGGCAAATTGAAATTCCGATATCTCCGTTAGAACAACGCGTCCGGGGGGGACGATTTTTCTTCTCGTCTCTCCCTCTCCCTCTCTCTTTCTCGTCAATTTTCAAACTTTAACCAAACAAATTTACCCCGCCGCAATTTTTCTCACTCTCCTTCCTTTATACCAACGTTCAACTCTCGTCATTTAATTGCAAGAGAGAAAGTTATCATTTGATAGAGGCTATTCCAATTTGTCAACTAATAATTGTCTTGCGTGTGTGATAATCATTTGTTCGTCGATGAACGCGAGGATTAAGGACGGCCTCGGACAGCGCCGGAAAATAACTTTAACTCGATAATACATTTTCGCTTCTATGTGCACTCGTACTTTTATATTTAGTTAGGTTTTACTTTCTATGGGATATTTTAGCTTTAGTTTGGTAAACTATGGACGACCAAGGGATGGTTCTACGTGCAGAGATCGGTCGCAGAGAAAGAATAAAATTTTTTTCATTTAAGGCTTTGTTCCCGAAAAAAATCAAATTTGAAAATTTATCAACTACGTTATTAGATTTAGCCTCTGACCAGGAATGAATAACAAGCAGGAGGGTTATTCTATTTACACGATTCACGTTAGTATCCATAGTTATTCACAGTTTGCCAGGACACACCAATATAATAATTGCAGAGAAAGATACCTTTTACGCATATTTAAATATTTCACAATCGTACGATTATTCTCCATCTGCGCCCAAATAGGGTTAATCCCAATAATTGCGAGTCATTTTGTAATCGTCATGCAGCAGCTTGTAGGATCATCGGATTCGATAGAAGCTGCGATAGGTCATGTATCGAAGCGTGATAAGAGTAATTTATCGGGCGCGACGATAATCCTTTGATACACGATGTCCTCTGTCCTTTTTTCTTGTTTTTTTTTTTATTTTTTTTTTTTTTTCCTACACTGTCTGCATGCTATCGACGAATTACGATCCCCGCTGAAAATTGACGATTTCGAACTGGCTAGTGAAACACACGCTTGGTTTATCTAGGTGTTATTCTCTAGCTTTGAAGCACGAGAGAGTAGGCAAGACTATAATTTGAAAAAAAACGCTACATGTCACATGTTTCAATTTTCGAGATATCGTTGTTGAAATTCCTTAACACCATTTCTTCTTATTAATTTCTCCTTTCTATCATAGGCACATAAAAATATTCACAAAATGTTGTTTAAATCATTACAATAGATCGTATTTCTTGTACATTTCAATTTGAAACGATTTACGCGAGATCGATAGATACGATTAATAGTAATATGAATCACACTAAAATATTGTTTTACACATTAAATGTCGCAGAAAGCACTGCACTAAAAATCCCCTCCAATCATAATAGTTGAATCAATACGAAATTGCCAAAGTTTATACATTTTTTTGACAAATTTAAAAGAGAACTGAATCATAGAATATTTTCAAGTTCGAAAAAAATTGTCAAACACAGTCGAGACGGAGTTCGATCGACTATGCAATCTCACGACAGAGAGAGGAGCGACAAATTCTTTCCTCGTTACATTTTTGATACGTGTCGTTCACAACTTCACGTTGTCACGTCATGTTTCAGCTCATCAACATATCATTACAAGTTTAACAGAGAACAAATTTCACAAACACGGAAATGGGAACATGTAGTCCGCGCGTGCATCCCAATTGAACGTATGTCAATCGTGCAAAACGTTGTCCGCAATGTCTATTTTCCGTTTGCTCCAGCATTGTTAACGAATGGAAAATCATCATTTACGCGAAATCATCGTACATTAGCTATTAGCTCAGTTATGCTCATCACTGTAACACGCAGCCCCATTTCTGTCGTTCCAGAGATGTGAGGAATGATCACGTGGGTGATGGTCGGGCTGCTCTTGGCTGCGGAAACTTGCGGCAGAAACGTCCTCTCCGGAAACGGAAACGGAAAGGAGGAGTCGAAGCAGAAGGACGGGCTGAAGGGAGTCGCCACGGAGGAGGAAGACATCTACCGTGGGTATCGGTGTCGCGGCGCGCGCTTCGGAAAAGAGGAAGAGGATGGGAAAAGTCGCGAGAGAGAAAGGGCGGGGAACGAGGCAAACAGATCTATGATTTGCTCGGCTAACTCAAGCTTATCCCGTTCTCTCTCGAATCCTGCAATCGAGCTCCACTAATCCTGCTTCCTGGCTTTCGACCGCTCTACGAATCTCGCCTCGGCTACTTTAACCCCTTTTCCCCTTACCAATTCCACCCCCTATTCCCCTCCTCCCTCTCACAAATCATTCGACGATCTATACACCTGGTTTCTAACATATTGTTCTGAAATATCGCCAACCGTGTCCGCTGCCAAGCTTCTCGGAGCACCGATCCTTTATTTAGCTAAAATTTCTTTCTGTCTTTCTCTCTCTCTCTCTCTCTCTCTCTCTCTCTTTTTTTCTCGGTTTCGAACGACATTCGCAGAGGCAAACTCCTCGGAATGACGGAAGTTGGCTTGGTAATTTTGTTTTTACGTAGGTTTTGATCCAGTAATAGAATCTGGTTGGATCGAATCGAAGGAAATCTTAAAGATCGACGACTCGAACTACGAATCCTAGTATTGAGTCGATATCGGAACGAGCCATTTAACTCTTGCCACTTTAAATCATTCAAAATTTATTTGTTACACGAGAAACGTTTCGTTCAAATATTGCGTTGCATTGAAAGGGTCGATAATTAACTTTTTGGCCCCTTCCCTCGAGGATACGAATTTCACTTTGAATTTTGGAAAACGTAATATTCAACAATCGAACCTCGCAGTTCCGTACGCACGTGTGTATATTTTTATTATTTTGTTAACGCAAATTTATAACCATTCTGTTGCGTGAATGCAACTGCAAAAATAAATGAATCGAACGCACATGCACAAGATAGAAATAAAAATCTACTTCAGAAAAAAATTCTACGTCAGAAATGACGGGCGAGTCCCGTCTTAAGAGAAAAAAAGAAAAAAAAAAGATCGAAAAACCCTCGTTTCCTTTTTCTTCCAATTTCGTTCCTCTCCAACTACTACTACTACTCCTACGCTCGTATTTCCTACTTTCCATCAGTCCCCCCGGTGAAAAAGTTTGTATTCCATTAGCGTGTCCATGGGTAGGAAACCTTTCCAAGGCGAACGACGGTAAACTCGATTCCGCCGGAGCGGGCAAAACGCCCGGAAACAGCTTCAATTTGAACGGTTTGAAAAGTATTAATTACGAGACTGGACCCCGTCGGACCGGAACAATGCGTCGCGTCGCTCGGCGAGGTCTCCCGGTGGGTGTGTGGCTGCATTTCGAGGGAGAAACAAGCTTTTGTTACCGCGATCGCAACGACGCTCGTTATAAGTTCCATTCGACGGGGACAATCCATTTTCCGCGACGTTAAGTGTATTGCGACCAGGCCAGGAATTATATCGAAGGAACGCCTAAGCGTGTTTAATTGTTGCGTCTCTCCGCCCTTTGTCTCGTACTTCAACCGGCCCGCTGTCTCCTCGTGCAACGCTATTACTCACTCCATCGCACCCTCTGTTGTTGCAGGTCTAACGTGCTACACTTGCGTCAACGTCAGCGATAACCAGGTATCGACGAGTCCATTAAACGTTCCCCTTAAGAGTCCCTAATGCCTGTATCGTACCTGCCTGCTACTGGACCACAATTTCGTTTAACATCCCCAGGACATCGACAGTTTAGTTATCGACATTTTATTTGTCTTTAAAACTTCACCCCCGGCGTTTCATCCGTCATCCGATTTCCTTTAAGCTTCCGTATCACGCTTCCTCCGCTCGTACACGCGCGATCCTGGGTTTTCTTTTCATCCGCAATCCCCTAGCCGTTCGATCGAGGACACGATTTTTGCGTTGAGATAAAAATTCCCAGAGTTCTCAACGTTTTACGTGCTTTTGATTGAAGATTGAAGAGTGGTTTGAACGAAATGTAACTGGAAGTTTTGTTAACTATTGGTATATACAAATCAAACGAAAAAACAAAAAAATGGATGGATATTTGACTAGTATTATTTTCTATACATTATATTTGCAACAATAAGGAATGTTAATCTTTGTGTCATCGTTCTATCAGGAAAATGTTCTGTATAAATTTAAGTAATAATACATTTACAGAATATTTACGTCATAAAACGCTTCAAATTCCCGTTTTCTCTTGACATTTTGAAATTAAATAGACGAATATAGAATTTCGTGACTGACTATAAGCATAAACTGATATTTTCAATACACGTCGAGTCGCATGTAATTTGCACGTTATTACGTTACGAATTAATAAACGAATTCGCCTTCGTAACATACATTCGTTTTTCTTTAAACATTTAAAATTTAATAAATGTACGCAGACTTCTGCAATTGACTGGGTATTAAGCATTTTCAAATTTTGCCAAATTACGCGAACGAATTAATTAAAAATCGTGAAATATTTAAAATCCTCCTCCCCACTCCTTCCGTATGAAATATTTCAAAATTCAACAGACGAATATTTAAAATTCAAAAAATACGAAGTGTTTTTGTTTATTTGTAGCAACTGTCGAGTCGTTTTATTTCGCCTTGCACGTTCAGGAATCGTATTGCAGTCAGACCGTTCGATCACTCGCTAAGAACGCGTAAAACGTTGAAACTCGAGAGAGCCCCTAATTCAAGAGACCGGGCAGGGTCTGCGCTACGCTTCAAGTCGTCGATGTCGCGAGAGGAATTACCAATATCGGGTAAGGTTCGGTCGTCGATTTCTTCGTGAAACGAGAAGAAAACACGGGACAAGGCAAAGAAGATGGCTTCGACGTCGTGGATCAACTCCGGGCATCTCTAAACAGGAGTTCCGTCGGCGGGAAAAATCTGTATCGAAAATCGTTGATTCCGGCCGGGTCGATGGCCCGCCGCAAGTTCCGGCTACTATCCTTTGCCCCGGGAATTTATTCGTTCGATTCGTGGCTGCCATCGTCTTATATCTTTCTCCTCGTTTCTTCCCCTCACCGCCGAGAAACGATAGCCCGAAACTTCATACGTACATAACGGCGACACACAGTTGTTGCGAGCACATCAGAAGCAACCAGAGTTCACCGGTTACACTTCACCCACCGGCCGTGCCAATTTTCCCAAACTCTGCTACTCCAACTCTCTGCTTCTCGTAACGTCGATTACGAATCCGCAGGACCAACGAATTTCACGCAACTCTTTTTACAAACATATCGAGCCGGCTAGCTCGTGAAACTAACGTCGAACTTCCGTTACGATCGATCGTGGCTGGTAATGACCAAACGGCCGCGCAAACACAGCCGGATTCGAGCGGACGAATTTGATGTTGTGCCAGAGTGCACCAGTTTTCACGATACAAGCCGGATGATTCTATAATCTCGACGATCTTTTATTGATTTTTGACTTACGGAATTGGAACGAACAATCAAAAAAACGAGAGAAAAAAAATGGATAAATATTTTTATAAGCCAGTTAGAGGCAGTACGCCTCGAAACAATTATTGTTCGCAAATCGTGAAAAAGATGAATTTTTCACGAGCGCGCGTGGCTTATAGAATCAGATTTCCCATTTATATACGTATGGTGTACAGTATTGGACGAGTAATGTAAATGGGACTCTCATAACGTTCTATTTTAGATTTTTGGGTTATTTTTCCACGTAGAATCTTTTCGTTTACCGATTGTACCACGAAAACTGGGGCAGCTTGTATATATATATATATATATCAATTTCACCTAATATTACAGCTATCGTTTCCTTTTCTTTTTCTCCTGTGTTCGCAGATGTGCAACGAATGGGCGATAGATACACCGTGTCCGGTTGGTGGCCGAGACTTCTGCAGATCGCTGCAGATTTTGGACAGTCGTGGAAACAGCGTCTTGGCAAGCAAATTCTTTCTTTTTTTCTTTTTTTCTTTCGCCCTCTCTCACTTGACATCCCCTCCCCCTCCTCTCTCTCTCTCTCTCTCTCTCTCTCTCTCTCTCTCTCTTCGGAAAAACTTCGAGTCGGCGCGATTAACTCTGTCGTTGCCAAGAAATATTAGAACCGTAGCCTCGAGTGTTGCTCGTTCTTCGTTCCTTGGAACCGAGAAACTCTGCCTCGTTTCTTGCTTCACAATTCCAACGGGGACGAGTTTGCATAATTGATGTAATTTACCATTGAAGGAGACTTTAAATTGAAGACGCGACAAGAGGAGGAGAAACGAACGAGCCAAGACAATTTTTTCTCTCTGTTCGATGGCGTTAAAAACTCGTGGTTTCCCTTCTCGTTTCCCTGTCTGCTGTCGTTTTTATTCTACTCTCGCTGCTTCATTTACAGTGAAGAGCGTAACTGAACCAATAACTAGAGACGTCGCGTAAATCAGTTTCTCACTGCTGTTAATGTTAGAGTGTAGAGGAAACACACGATACACATTGCTCCGATTAACGCTGATCTAAACAACGTTTGAAAGTTGCGAATTCTGTTCTCTTTTTTTATTTATGTTGAAATCATATACAGTGTGAGAATAGAATAAAACCATTCTAAGAGCTAAGGTATGGTATACTAGTGATTTATTAAATACTCGTAATAAGCAAATACTAATGATTCGTTAAAGTTCGAAAACCTGATATGCAAAATTGTATCAACATATATTTCTTGTCTACACTAAACAACTAAACAGAGATATTAAAAAATTACTCGTACTGATTTCAATTATTTAAAATCGTTCCTATCGTGTTCATTTTCCGTACACCTTTGTATCAAGGGTAATAAGAAATAATTTATGTAGAATCTGTGGTTACAGGTTCAACCATGCTTCTCACTGTGACCATGCCGCGATGTCGCGATAAAATCGACACGATCGTTCGATGTTTATCGCGAAAACCATTGTGCCACGCCACCGTCGATGAAGATCAATCCTAAATTTTATCGCTATTCCCGCTAATAGCTTCACCCAGCGTTAAATGCATTATCGATTTCCGTGTTTGTTAATGGATAAACTTGCAGAAGCGAATTCACGGTGGAAAAGTGATGGCGAAAGGTCTACTCTCTCTTAAGAGCATCCATCGACTAAGCACTTTCGCAGAACTCTTTCAATTACGAACATCGCAATCAATTAGAGTCTATTCATTCTTTTATTCGCGATCTCTATACTTGTTCTCGATCCGCGTTTTCTTCGTTAACCCATTGAATTAGCTCAAAATTGCCAAAATACTGAACAAGCGTATTATATGAAATTGAGGAATGAAGTACGTAAATAGAATTGTCTCGATTTGAAATAAACAAAATCTGGAATGAAAGAGAGGAAGAGTCGTGAGAGAAATCTGAGAGGAAGATGCATATCGTGAGAAATAAAAATTATTAACATTTTAAACGTTCCATCTATTTCGATTCATGTATATAATGTATATTATATCATGTATAACATGTATATTTGTTCGATACATCGTAATACGTTATCGTTTTTGGACCTCTGACGAGTAAATCAATTAATTTCTACATGATTACAAAATTACTTGTTCTAATACGAACTAAGCACTCAAAGGGTAAATTAATTCTCAAATACGAACAGAAATGCAATGATACGTGGAATGATTCGCGTTCTCCCCCCCCCCCATTTCGAATGAAAGGCTCGTGCGAGAAACCTCCGCTGTATGCTTTTCCCTTTTCTTCTCTCTCGAAAGTTTCAGAACGCTCGGCAAGAATAGAAGACGGGGGAGCGAAACAAGCAGGGAAAATCCGCGTAGCAATCACCGAGATGAACATTCTGTATACGCGAAATCGAACATGTAAGAATTAAACAGTGAGAGAAACGAGTGACGATGATGTAGGTAGATCCCAACGACCGGGAGAATCGATACTTCGAACAATCGGTAGATTGAAAAAAGAAGAAGCAACTCCCTCCGGTTGCATCGTTGAGAGATTGAAAACGAACATACGAGCGGAACGATCGAGCAACGGAACGTTAACACGCCGCCGACGTACAATGGTTCGCGAAAAATCACGTTTCTATATTTCAGGTGAGCAAGAGCTGTGTGAACAGCACGGAATGCGGCCCTGCCTCGGTCGGTTGCATCCCAATGGACACGCAGCAGGTGCGAAATAGCGAATTTTTTCCAAGTATCCTGGCCTGGCTTGCCCTCTCTTTCGTGTGTTCTCTGAAACGCAGTTCACGTCACTGGAACTGTCTCTGTCACTTTACTCTCTGTCACTGTCTCTCTTTCTCTCTCTCTCTCTCTCTCTCTCTCTCTCTCTCTCTCTCTCTCTCTCTCTCTCTCTGCTGTCGGTTTCTGGGCGAAAGAGGAAAAAGAGCCGCGCGATCGGGTGAAATAAATTCGGTTATTTCGTTCCAGATTTGCATCAGTTGCTGCGACCTGAGCTACTGCAACATCGAGTCGCCGACCAACGCCACCAACGCCATATTCTCGCGGAAACGGCGCGCCAAATCGAAGTCGAAGCGCAAACGACCCGGGAGAAACGGGGTCGAGGGCAGCCGATTCTACGGGGACGGCGCGCTCTGGCTCCTGGCCTCACTCTTCTATGCATATCATTGCTGAGGAAGCAGCAAACGCGGAAGAATTTTCTTAGTTAGAAGACGCGTCGTGAAGCGGTGCGCCAGGCAGCTCGGGAATTACCATCCTCCACCGGGGTTACCATTCGAGACTATAAACAGAATTTTTTGCGGAATCGTCTCTATTTCTCTTGTCCTCTACTACGTATTACTCTCTCGTCTCTTCTCGACTGACAGCCCTGTCCCTTCATTGTCACACCTCTACACACGCGCACACACACATCCTTTCACGTTTAAAAATGTAACTTCGAAGTAAAAATTAACTGGCAGAAAAGTATTTGCGCTCTCTGCGCTTCTCGCGAAGCTTTGGAGAAAGATCTATGCCCTCTATCGATCAGCTTCTCGTCTCCGTTTCCTCGACGAAGTGAATCGCGAATCGCGCGCTACTAAATCGCGCGACAGCGTGTTTAGCGAAATTGGGAATCTGTTTGTCTTTCCCTTCATCGACAGATTCGAGGAGCACCGGCTCGACTCCCGAAGTTAGGGGAGACGTCGCTAGAAACGCTCTGGGAGAATCCTGCGCTGTCTGAAGCATGTATAGTTAACCGAGGGTCGTTTCAACGACTCTCAGTGATGGAAAAAGGAATTGTTCTCTTCTCGTAGTAGCGTAGTTGCCTATGCCTTGTTAGAAAACGAAAAGAAATGAAGAAACCAAAAAACAAAAAAACAAAAAAAAAAAAATGAAGAAAAAAATAACAGAAATGAAAACACACACGCAACACACACCAGACAAGAAGACTAAGTTCGAAGCGAGATTGAACTTTCTACAGAGGAAGTTACAGTGCCAAAGAGAACGAAGAAAAAAATGAAACACCTTCCATAGAGCCGATTTTACAAGGGCATTTTTATTTTCGATCGAGCACAGTCAACGCTGATGTACAACTGGTACAATGAAGATTCATATTGTTTTCGCGTTTCAAAGGCCCTGATTCGACACGCGGAATTTCATTTCGACTCCTCGAGGAAAGGCGGAAAGGAAGAAGAGAGACGCGGAAAGAAAAATGCCTGTTCCCCGCGATCCATTCCGTACCTAGTAGAACAACGATCGATCGTTGTCCTCGAGGCACTCGCTCGTTGAAGCGCCATGAATTCCCCATGCGATTCGCCGCGATCATGCATTTCATTCAACGAAACAAAGTAACAAACCGTTTCTATCGCTCTCTTTCCATAGTTTTTGCTTCTCACGATTCCGACCAAGCTTGCTCCGTTAGACTTCATTTACTCGGCCGACCGATCCATCAGTCGAATATTTAACCAGTCCCCGCGATTCAATTGAGGTTTCGTTCTTTTTTCTCTCGGTCTCCTTTGAGACGAAGGAGCGCGTGTTGATCCAGCTTACGTGGAAAGTTCTTAATTAATTAAGTTCCTTAATTAACAGCTGCAACTTCAAAGAAATTGCTAATTATGTATCCGAGGCAAGAAAAGAAGTTCCTAATTACACCTGCATAATAATATTATTTCCACTATCTCGTGCTATCTTATTTGCCGGTCCTTGATGACATTATCTTTCCGTTAATGAAAACGTTAATCACCGTAAATTGTCAATTTACTTGATGAAATAGTTTCCTTTTTAGCTGGATATCGGAAGCTGCCAGTATCGCAGAATTTATAACAGGGTGGAGAAAATCGAGCGCCAAAAGCGAGATTAGATTCATTCGAAAATCAATTTCCACTCGATTCTTATCGTTCGATCGTCGAACCGGGGGCGCGAGGGCCCATTCAGTTTCCGTGGATATCGAGTTTCTTAAGCGAAAACGAGGAAAAAGGACGAACGCTGGAATAACCGGCTATACCCGGGGCGCAAATCGAGGAGTTTGCTCCTGCACGCAGTTTGACAAATAGATATGCAAATCATGAATTACGCGAGCGGGACGCACGCGGGATTTGAATTATCGATAAACTGGAATTACGCGTACCTAAAAGCTGTTTACATACCTACAAACTCGCCTACTAACAGACTATTTACTGCTATTACAATTATTAACAATTATACACGTAAATAAATGAATAAATATATAAATGAATAAATGAATATATATTATGATATAGAAATTATACATTGTTTCGGCATGAAGATGTAAGAATACTGTTGGTAATGAAATAAAGAAGACTATAATTGTCAGACTGGGCAATTGATGGAGTAATTTATTATACGATCCTTCCAAGTTTCGATTGTTGCTTTGGCAGTTAAGTCGTTTTAAATATCGGATTGCTCGCATTAAATTGATTTTTAAATGCATCACTGTAGATGACAATATCCAAGTAACGTTGTAAACGTAAATGACACATTTCCCAGACAGTAATGTTAGACTCGTAAAGTAATTTACATTTGCCGGACAATTCTGAGGAACCTAATCGCATCCTAGAACCTTAGGAAGAGCAAGAAGAGAGTTGGCCCTATATAAGGGCCAACTTCGACGCATTCGACACAGTAACGAGTAGTTCGAGCAAGTCGCAAGTCTTAAGTCTTACTTCTGCATCGTCTGCAAGTACACCTGGGAAGTCTCTAGTTCATTACACACACCGCAAACAAAAAAGATATGGTACAACACTCAAATCATAGCTTGTTTCCTCGACAACCTAGTATCTCTAATTACTATTACTGATTTTTAATAAGAGGAGAATATTTTAAATCAATTAAATCAATTAAATTATTAATATTCTAGCAAATTAGAAAAGTCAATTTTTGTAGTTCAGTTATATATTAAATACAGATTTATCAGTCTTCGTGATGTAGTGTATCAGGCTATATTTTAATGCAAAGCTAAGGATTTACGTCTACTAAATTATAGTAAATTTAACAAAATTTAGCATTATAATTCGAATTTACTTAAAACGTAAAAGAAGGAAAAAAAACGTTTAATGAACTAATCAATGGAACATCGAGAGCTATAGAATTAACCCAAATTTCTTAATCTGATCAAACCCAGTGATGCAAATGTACCTTTATCTACATTATTCAATGCATATTTAACCTAACCTGATGATTTTATCACACGTTACGTGTTGTAGTATTCATTTAGAATTGATACTATACTGTTACTATAGATATATCTATATTAAAAAATAATTTAAAAAATTGAATTATGTAGAAGGAACGTTGCACAAGATACTACATATGAAACTATACATGAAATTTAAACATATTGAGATAAAAAATGTTCAAGATAAATAGAAATGTGTAGTCCAGGATTAGAACCTAATAGACTTTCGTAACTTTAATTTCTAATGATGCGTTTAGACTAAATGAACAAATATTCTCCCCCCTTCCCCCTTCTACTTCGATCAAATGCATGTCCATACTGATATTATTAATTTACTAAACGATTGTGACGTAATAAAGAACATATATTTAGTCTAGACGCACCGTAAGAATTTTCTTTCAATTAGAAATCAATTTAGAACAAATTGATTATTGAATCGTATAGAATCACTATTCATTTATAAAAATATATTTTACTAATATATTCATTCATTTCATATATATATTAATTTATAAAAATATATTTCACTAGTTCTGAAATATTCATTTTGAAATAAGGTACATAATATCGTTAAAAGATAATTGATTCTTATTTCCACTTACATTGCACGATGACGAAGTTCAAAGTGATGACGTAACCGATGAAATGATCCCGCCAAAATCCGCGCATTCGACGCCATATTGCTTCCTCTTGTCGTTTGAAATTTTCCCACGCACCTTCTTTCACACGAAGTCGGCTCGAAATACTATCACTCGCGTTAACGGGACCGATAACAGACTTTCGCACTACCGTACACGAATATTTTTTAATTTGAACGAGTTTTAAGATGAAAATGTCCGTTTCTAATACGCGTTCGCGCCATGTCATAGGACGTTTCATTGTCCGCGCGGAATTTTTCGAAATAATGCGTATAATTTCTTTTTCCGACCGAAAACTTTATAATATTAGCACTCCTTATACCGTACGAAATCTATTTCGAATAATTTTTGTGAAACATCGCGAATTTTTACCACGTAAACTCCGTTAATTTGAACCCGTCGACGCAGAGACAACTTTTCAAACGGATATCCATGGCGAACATGGCGGATGTCACGTGATCCTATTATTATAGGATGCTCCCACCTCTACTACTTGATCAAATGCATGTTCGAATTATTTATTTATTTTACTAAATAATCGTTTTGAAATATTCAATTAGAAATAAAATACGTAATATCGTTAAAAAAGTAATTGATTTTTATTTCTTTTTATTATATTGCACGACAATAAAGATTCTTATTTCTTTTTATTATATTGCACGACGACAAAAATCCCGCCAAAAACCGCGCATTCAACGCCATATTGCTTTCTCTTGCCGTTTGAAATCCCGCGTTGTTTCATTTTTGCACACTCCCTTTTTCACGCGAAATCGACTCGAAACACTATCACTCGTACTAATGGAATTGCACTCGCACTAACGCGACATGCGAATATTTTCTAGCTTCAACGAGTTTTAAAATGAATTATCTAAAAAGTCCAGTTGCATCTAATATACGTTCACGCTACGCTATAGAACGTCTCGTGCCCGCGCGAAATTTTTCGAAATAACGCATATAATTTTTTTCCCTGACCGAAAACTTTATAATATTAGCACTCTTTATACCGTACGAAATCTATTTCGAGTAATTTTTGTGGAACATCGCGAATTTTTACTACCGTAAACTCCGTTAATTTGAACCTGTCAACGCAGAGACAACTTTTCGAACGAACGTCCATGATGGATATGGCGGATATCACGTGATCCTATTATAAATGTATCTACATATGAATGTAATACATGCCCCCTCCCAGTGCTACTACTTCAATCAAATGTATGTTCGTATTGGTATTATTTATTTTACTAAACGATTGTCATGTAATAAATGAACAAATATTTGGTCTAGGCACATAATAAAAATTCTCTGTCAATTAGAAATCAATTTAGAATAGATTGATTATTGAATTATATAGAAATGGTTATTTATTTATAAATATATATTTCACTATTGTCATTAGTTGCAAAATATTCAGTTTGGAACAAAGTAGGTGATATTATTAAAAGATAATTGATTCTTGTTTCTACTTATATTGCATGATGATAAAGATTCAAGGAGATGATGAAATAGACGAAACGATACCGCCAAAAACCGTGCATTCGACGCCATATTGCTTTTCCTCGCCGTTTGAAATCCCGCATTGTTTTACGAACGCTTTCTCGTTCACATAAAGTCGACTCTAAACGTTATCACTCATGCTAACGTGACTTTAGTTAATATTTTCTAATTTCAACGAATTTTAAGCTGAATTATCAAAAAGATCTGTTTCTATCTAATACGTGTTCGCGCTATAGGACGTCTTGTGCCCGCGCGGAATTTTTCGAAATAACGCTTGTAATTTCTTTCGCCGACCGAAAACTTTGTAATATTAGCACTCCTTATACTGTATGAAATCTATTTCGAGTAATTTTTGTGGAACATCGCAAATTTTTACCACCGTAAACTCCGTTAATTTGAACCCGTCGACGCAGAAACAGCTTTTCGAACGATCACCTATGGCGTACATCACGTGATTCATTTCTTATTCCTCTAGGCGCTACTAGACGACGCCACTGTAGTCTATACATACGCATCATCAAAATCTATATTAAAATGGAGGAAAAGAGTCAAGTTGTAGAACGAGAAACTAAAAAAGATGAAATTCACGAAAAAGATGTGAAATCCAAAAGGTGAGCGACCGTTCATTCAATTCTTAAAAAGCACTTGTATACTGTTGATTTGATGCAATTTGAAAATGCGCGATACGATTGAATGTGAGTTATGGATGGCCGGCAATAACGTAAGCATAATTTAATGTTATTTCTCGTCATTCATTGTATTATCGTTAGTAACAATATTTCCTTATTAATTTGAAATAATAGAAGGATTATGATATTGCAATATTAGTGAACTTGAAACAGGTGTATATAATAATATGGACTTTTCACTACATTACAATCAATAGCTACACATTCTATCGTGCTTTGAAGATGTTGAAGTTTTAATATCCTTAACCTCATTATTATTGTATAGACTAATAAAGGAATGGTATTTTTAATTTAGTTCTGTAAAGAGACATCGCAAGAAGAAGAACAAGATGTCACATGGCAATGGCGATAATCACAATCATAGAGATGAGCATGAACTGCATAGTGCATGTAATATTTCTATCAAGGATATACAAATGGCAATGGAAGTATTTAATATACAACAGAAACCTGCCAAAACTCAAGAAGAAGCTATGCAAAAACCTTATCAGTTTTGGAGTACACAGCCAGTACCAAAAATGGGTAAACTGTTAAATACATTTATTCAATGTTAACCTTAAAAGATAACTTTAAATACATCAAATTACATTGTGAAAATTTTCTACAGATGAGAAGATAGTTAAAAATGAACCGATTGAGTCTGACAGAACATCAATTAGAGCAGAACCTTATTCATTGCCAGCAGACTTTCAATGGGACACATTAAACCTTGATGATCCTTTGGTTTTGTCAGAATTGTATACTTTATTGTCTGAGAATTATGTGGAGGATGATGATGCTATGTTTAGATTTGATTATCCACCAAACTTTTTGAAGTGGTAAGTAAAATATCAGCTGTGAAAGTTAAGATCTAACATAGCTTGATTTCTAATAGGATATGCTTTTAGGGCGTTGCAATCTCCTGGATGGTGCAAAGAATGGCACTGCGGAGTACGAGTGACTAAAAGCGGACGTCTAGTCGGTTTTATTTCTGCTATTCCAGCTACTCTGCGTGTTTATAATCAGTAAGTTTCGAATGAGTAAATCGTCGAATCAGTAAATTTGTAATTTATCCTCTGGTAACTGATGAAATGAAAATTTTAGTACCCAAAAGATGGTGGAAATAAATTTCTTATGTGTACACAAAAAACTGAGGTCGAAGCGAGTTGCACCGGTGTTGATACGTGAAATAACTAGGAGAGTTAATCTTGAAGGTATATTTCAGGCTGTATATACTGCTGGTGTTGTACTACCAAAACCAATAGCAACTTGCAGGTGAGTGTCTGTATCAAAATGCCTGTACCAATGTCACTGTACTAGTTACATTACTCATTTGTCATTTAATTGTCATTTAACTACGAATTCACTTTCAAAGGTATTGGCATCGTTCTCTCAATCCTAAAAAACTAATTGAAGTGAAGTTTTCTCACTTGTCTCGCAATATGACTATGCAGAGAACTTTAAAGTTGTTTAAACTGCCAGAGAGTACAAAAGTGCCAGGATTTAGGAAATTAGTCGAAGCAGACATACCTCAAGCCCATAAGATATTAACTGATGTAATTATTTTTAAATGAATATATTAATATTTTAATTCACAGAATATTATTTATTTATCAGTTTATTTATGTTTAGTATTTGGAAAAATTTGACTTGGCTCCAGTCTTCTCCATCGAAGAGTTCCGACATTGGTTCCTTCCACAGAACGAGATTATTAATACTTTTGTAGTAGAAAAAGATGGCAAAATTACCGATATGGTTAGCTACTACACGCTGCCAAGCTCGATAATGCATCACCAGACACACAAGACACTCAGGGCTGCATACAGTTTCTACAACGTATCCACAGCAACGCCTTGGCTCGAACTCATGACCGATGCACTTATATCGGCTCGTAATGTAAGTTCCACGGTTTGTACCTTCATTATATAAGAGAAAAAAAGAAAACATATTTACCTATTATTTTCAGCTTGATTTCGATGTATTTAATGCATTGGATCTTATGGACAACAAACAGTTTTTAGAACCACTAAAATTTGGCATAGGTGATGGAAATCTGCAATATTATTTATACAATTGGCGTTGTCCTAGCATGACGCCCGGGAAAATTGGTTTAGTGCTCCAATAAAGTCTAGATGAACGTATCCAAAAAGAAAGAAGAAGAAGAAAAACTTTCTTCTTCTTCTCAGAAAATGACGATAAACGGTGGAAATGAAGATAATATACAAGGGACATTGAAACTGGGAGCAAATGATATGATTAGACTTGTACCGTCGAACATCCAAAGCACATTGAAAGAAAGGAATCGATATTTCCTATCTAACGAGTTAAAGTAGGATGTTCCATTGAGCTCGCTGGTTTCGCGGATATTATCTTTTCGACCTTGAACTAATGTCAGTTTCATGTCGGAGAGCTTCCGACTCCACTCTTGGTCATGACATTAGTTCAAGGTTGAAATATGCATGTGCAACGCGTGTATATAGGTATCTGCGTGACTCGAGTAATGTAGATAATTATCGTACGCTCTAGTAATTTACAAAAAAACTATGCGGGACAAATTTCCTTCCTATAGGCATCGTCGATCGCAAAGTTACTTGAAACTTCTTGACGAAAAAAAAAAAGCTTCTTGAGCGCTATTTTATTTAAATTAACACGTTTATCCCCCGACGCCTGTTTTGATTAAATAGAAAAGTATGCCAAAATGAGAGTGGAAGATAAAATTTAAATAAAAGATCGAAGTAAAGCGGTCCATTGTTTGCTTACCACCACTTACCTTCCCTTCGTTCTTCACATCATAAATTTCACTTTCCACTTGTAACCTACATATATACACTCCTGCACAGAATAAAAATTCTTCTTATCGCATGTGATGCGTCGTTTATTGGCGGCACGGAAGATTTCACGATCGCTCGATCATTAATTTTGGTGGTACCGTTTTCTTTTCCGGTATCTTCGAAGCACATGATTGCATAACGAACCCGCTTCCGGCGACGATTAGATAGCGGTAAAACTAAAAAGACACAGAAAGAAACCAGTTTTTAAGGACTGTCATTAAGGGAAATACCGCTGACCCAACGGTGCGGCATCAAACGTAATTTATATTGTTCAAATGTAAACTTCATTAAAACAAATATATACAATTTCAGGCTGTATTTCGGGTAATTTCAAATTTTCGGCTAATTTCTTTTTTTATTTTTGTTCTCTTAATCTTGATAATTTCAAGCTTTCGACTAATTTCTTTCTTATTTCTGTTCTTTCGGCTGACGTACATATATACTCTACGTGAGAGCAGCCTGTGGTTCTTAATACATACTCGAGGTCTTTGTAACAGTTGCTGCAGATCAATATTTAACACAATATACGCACAACTGACATGCAAGGTCTTTTCAAGATAAAAGGCGCCAAACCATGGCCCTGTGACGATTAAACTCGTTAATATTTACACGTTCGTCTTCTTTTCATTTATTTGTATTGCTAACGTTTTTCAATCTGTGTTGCCTATTTTGATATTGCCTGAATTGCGAATATTCATTTTGTGATAATTAAATTGCGGATTTTTATGCACTTAAATTTCAAGGTCCAAAAATGCATATAATACACGTAATACTGAAAAATATATAGAACATTCATAGCAAGGTACTCTTTATTCAAGGATAGAAGCAATTTTTTTATTTAATTCCTATTCTTTTAGTGATATACTGGGAAATTTAAATTTGCGTAAGCATTTACAATCTATAAATGATTTTATTTATTGAACTTCAATCAATTGTCCTCTATACATCCTACGATATGTCGTTTATCTAGAAACATGACATTACGAAATAACACACTCTTCGATGTGCACAAGTGAATAACGATTGTGCAAACTAATGGTGACAGGAAAAAATATCTTTGATCGTATAACTTCGCAGTAGAAAATTCACCCATCAATTCTAGAATAGTATTGAACAGATGTGAAATTCTCTTTGATGTTCATCGTTTCATCTTCCATTCAATTTGATCTTTCCCATTATCTTTCGATTTTCGCGATGATTACTAATTTGTATTTAATTTAATTTCAACTGTGAAATCATTTATATTCACAGGTGATAAATACCTGAAACGTTTATCATTACTATGATATTATTTGTATGATTAATGTAAAAAGTGAAATTTATTATTGCCTTGGTTGTTATCGTGTTTTTATCATCTTAATGTGTAAAAAGAAACCCACGAAAGAGAACTTAAATACCCTTGTAAATACCCTAAAAATGTTTCACCTAGTCAATCCGACCAGATTAAGATTAAGGACCTCGTTCGTTACCTCCAGTCTCGACGATTTATTTTGCTCGTATGAGATTCATGATTATTTTCAAATTCGGCTGTTCAAACGTGAATAAAATTAATTACAGTGTATTCCATTGGCAAAAATTTCGCAAAATGGGAGGGAACACGCTTTTTGACAAACAGGCTGAAGAATTTTTCTATTAGATTCCATATGATCGCAAAATGTACAAAAAGTACAACGAAAAAGGATAATTCAGGAGTAATGTATAGTAGAAATATATATGGGCTACCCGCATATACTATCTGTAGCATCCTTATAATTGTTAGATATTATAACACGGTTAATCAGAGAAATAGTTTGCTATTATTTTTAATTATTGTTGCGGTTGTGGGATGTAAAAATCGAATGTAAAACAAAACTACATGTTATAACTATATATATTGTAAATTACTTCAGTTTATATAGATATTTAAAAATGATTTTATTTATAAATTGTTATGTTTATTATTTTTGTTAAATTATTAGTTATTTATTATATTATTAAATTTATAAATCATTTCACATTATTAGACTGCGGATTTTTATTCAAATTCTATGTATTTTCGATATAAAAAAAAAAATAAAACCTTTGAGAACAAAAATTGTTTTACATTGTAAATATTAAAGAAGACATTGCATTTTGAATATGCTATTACATTCTTTTCATATTGCGCGCATTCTGTGCAATTTTACATTTTGCATTGCACATTTTGAATTTGCATAAAAGTTCACAGTCTACGTGTTGTATACTTTCTGAGATTCTTACCACCATATATACCTATATTCTAGATAACGCATGCTACGAAAAAATCAATCAAGGCAGTTTAATCCGGTAACCGGTGGTACAACCGGGCAAGGCTCTTGATTGAATGAAACCCCATAAACAGAAGTCTGTTAAGTTAAAAATCACGGTTAGTACAAGTGCACTGGGTTGATCTTCAAAATCGTTTTTCTCGAAAACGTAGCCTCGTGCGCAAAAACTTTATTTCACATACTTTATTTTACTACATTTTCCACTCATTTTTTCATGAAAAGTCGGATCTTGATTGACTGGACACTCTGTATCGAGTACTATGCCATTAGTAGTTGATAGAGTACGAATTTTTATGCATTTGTAGGAAGATGGAAATTTATTAAATTGTTTACTAATTGGGAATAATAGTGAAATTGCATTGAATACACAATTGAATTTAATGTGAAACGAACATCTCCAAGAGAACAGATTTGCATAAAAATTCGTATTCTAATCGGCGTGCACAGTTGCAGCGGATGATTCTTGGAATACGTCTGGCAGATCCGAAAAAAATACGGGCGGTCGTCAGGTGAACCACGGATCCGAACGACGCGATGGAACATCGTCGATCCTCCACCGAAGGCCTTCAACTCTCGCATGGTCCTTGGTCGGGTAAGTGTACCAATTTCGCCAGAGTGTTTCCCATACGGGGCTCAATGCACTCCGATTGTCAGCAAGATTGATCGCTAACGCGTGATGTTCTTTCACACGAAGCGGAGAATGAAGAAGAGAAAAAAAAAAAAAAAGGAAGGGGGAAATGAAGAAGAAAGAAAAGGGAAAACGGAAACGAGGAATCACCGAACAATACCCGGAGCAGATAACAGCCACGAAGCGCTGACGAACAACATGTAGGTGGGGAACACGAGACACACGATGTAGAATAAATAGTGGCCTGAAATCGAGCGGAATTCAGTCGCACTGCTGTTGTACACCATCGTCGTTGACGTTTATTCACGAAGACCACTGACTGAGCACCTCGTGAAGTCATTCTGGTCTTATCTGCAAGCAGGATAAAATCAATAAGTTACCCGTAGGCTGATTCTACTACGCGTTTACTTCCTCGTTGCAGGCTCGCTAGTTAATAATCGACACGATCGTGGCATTCGACTCATCATCAAACCGAGATGATACTCCAACTGCTGTTGATGCTAGCTCCTGTACTTCGGATCGACGCGTTCTTTTTCGGGTACTTTGCACACGTGTTAATCGTCGAGATGCCTTGCGAACAATCGACTTTGTCTCTTCTATCCTTTGTCTCTTCTAAATTTAGCCTCGTTGGGCACACCGAACGTATACGTGCACGTATGGCTCTTTCTTTTTTCTTTCTTTTAATTAAAATTATTGAAGAAAACAAAAATGAAAACTTGTGTTACTTTTTTTTTTGTGCATTTTCATCGTTTCTCTGAATTTTTCTCAATTTCTGAATTACGTTATACATTAATATGAAAAAATAAATTAAATTTAAAAAATTCATTCCTAAAAAAAATTTAGAAAAGACAGGTACCATTTCAGGAAACACGTATTGCAGTTTATATATTATATTATTAATTTAAATTTAAATGTTAATTTTATATTAGGTACGTTGCACTTTTCTCCATAAAGAATAAAAGATATAGGAGATTAAAGAGTAAAAAAAAAAAAGAAAATGCGAATGTTGGCAAGCGCGTCCCTCCTGAAATACATCCATAAAGCGTTCAAGTTCACATCTGAAAATATCTTATCTAATTCGTGTGTCGTTGGCCCGGCGGCTCTCTCGACTCGACTCGACGCTAACACCTCATCTCTCTCTCTCTTTCTCTTTCTCTTTCTTGTCAGCCTCGTACCGACTACCCCCAAGAACAACGAAACCGACGAGTTCAACATCTACTGGAACGTGCCCACGTTTATGTGCCATAAGTATGGGCTCCACTTTAAGGAAGTATCAGAGAAATACGGCATCCTACAGAACACGATGGATAATTTCCGTGGCGAAGAGATCGCGATCCTTTACGATCCTGGCACGTTCCCGGCGATGCTGGAAGATTCGAACGGTAAAACAATTACTTTGTTCTTTTATCAACTGTGTGACAGGGTTGGGCATATTAATCCATTAAAGTTTTTAATTTGTCATAAGCATGAATCAATTGATTAAAAAATTAGGTAAATTTCTATGAGAGAACTCTTTGAATCCACACTTCGTGCATGTTTATCCCGAAATTTCATATGAAAAACTCCTGTTGTATTTAGCTTGTTATCTTTCAACTATGTTCTAGCTGATTTTTAATTAATTTCTTGCGGAACAATTCGTCTCCTGTTCGTGGGATTAATGGAATTAATCATCAAATCTTTATTAAAGGAAATTAATTGTCGAAAAATCATTAATTGTCGACTCATTTAATCGGTAGAGTTAATCGTTATAATCGTCAAATAAAAAAATTGTTCTTCAATTATCAAATATTGGTGTTTAAATGAAATTTGACTAAAATCTCAGTCAAATTAATATTCCATTTTTTTTAATCGTATTTATTATTTTATTAAATTGTGAAATTGCAATAAAGAGAGAGGAAAAGAAACAGCGGAAATACATTTCAAAAATTTATAAACATTTAGACAATAAAATGATAAAATAGAAGAACGTGTTTCCTAAAATTCAGCGTCAACTCTTGAGAATTTATAATCCTTAATTTATAATCGCGCGATCAAAACGAAAACTTAATCGTCGATTGTTAATTAAATTTTTGTGCCCAACTCTGTCGTGTGTGTAATTATCGATGGATTGGAGGAAGGAAAGAACGTTTGAACGTTGTTCAGGAAACGTAGTGATGAGAAACGGCGGTGTTCCGCAAGAGGGTAATCTCACCAAGCATCTGGAAGTGTTTCGGGAGCACTTGATCCATCAGATACCAGACAAATCGTTTCACGGTGTCGGGGTGATCGATTTCGAAAGTTGGAGACCGATCTTCCGGCAGAATTGGGCTTCCCTTCAGCCTTATAAGAAACTCTCGATAGAGATAGTTCGACACGAACATCCGTTCTGGGACAATCAGAGCGTCGAGCAGGAAGCGAGACGACAATTTGAGAAATACGGCAGGCTTTTTATGGAGGAGACGTTGAAGGCTGCCAAACAGATCAGACCGTACGCCAAATGGGGTTACTATGCTTACCCTTATTGCTACAATCTGACGCCGAGTCAACCCAGTTCACACTGCGACGCTGTCACTCAGCAGGAAAACGACAAGTATGTAATTAATAGACTGTGGATTTTTATGAAACTTTTTGAGATTGTGACAGAATAAATTACTGTTAGATTTGTTGGATCATTTTCGAACGAGTAATATCTTTTTAATGATAACAAATATTTTTTGTTTGAACAAAATAGATATAAATGGTACGTGTGATTTCTCGATTCAATTTGTATTAAGAGTTATCCCATTTTGTTGGAAAATGAGAGTCAGATAAAAACAAATTTTTATTTAGGTTTCATTATTAATTCATTTTCCAATAACTTCATTACTATATATAACAATATATAACTAATTATATAAATAATATATCAATATAATAATTATAACAATAATCTTAGTAACTTATAACAATAATTAATTACTTCAGTTTCTCAATTTCTTCGGATACCTAAGTAAAATTTCAAAATGCATAAATATCCGCATTCTACTGATAACCAAATTTGCTCTATCTCTGTCGTGAGCCTCTCCTATGCAACTAATCCTAGTTCAATCCTAGTTTAATCGCATCAGTTTCACTGTGTACGGATACTTACGCGCCACTTAATGTATTGGCACGTTTCACGAACCGATCGTGTGTTCTAGTTAGAACAGAGAAGTTTCTTAGAGATTTAAGGTAACGAGATTACGAATCGACCATGAACGTTACAATGCTCGAGCCTTAAGTGAGTCAGTGTCAAGAGTCGTATACCGGTGAAAATTTCTACCTAATCCTGGAGGGAGTTACATCCGTCTTATCTAATCGGCCTCTCTCGATAAGCCCAACACAGACTCGTGTGCTTCTCCATTCAGAATGTCATGGCTGTTCGAGCTGCAAAACGTCCTCCTGCCCTCGGTTTACTTGAGACTGAGCCTAACGAGCAATCAACGAGTGGGTCTCGTAGGTGGTCGTGTCAAAGAAGCTTTGAGAATAGCCAAGCAAATGATGACCAGGAAGCAGGTTCTACCGTATTACTGGTACAAATACCAGGACCAGAGGGACACGAATTTGAGCAAGGTGAGTTGCTTTGAAGTTTGAACATTGGAAGATACTCTGACGGGTGAAAATATTCTTTACTCGTCTTCATAGAAATTCATAAAAATGCTCAATAAATCTACCGATAACGAACCGGACAATTTTGTTCCTCAAAATGAACTTTCCTCCTTAGGATGATCTCGAGGCAACACTCAAAAAGATCATAAACCTCGGTGCAGATGGTCTCATCATTTGGGGAAGCTCCAGCGACATCAACACTAAGCAGAAATGCGTAGAGTTCAGAGAATATTTAAACAACGATCTGGGACCCGTCGTGAATCGACTCAGGCGAACAGCTCTTGGCTTAACTCGATACACCAGCACTCTGATGGATAACAAAATCGACGTGAGCGTCGATCAAGTTTGACACATCACCTGGAGCATCGATGCTCTTACAAAAGAGGAGACAAAGTATTAAGAGAAATTGTAAGGGTCTTCAGTTTCCGTCGCTTGAGTATACGATTACCATGCGTGACACACGCGGAGGATCCGCCTGACCTTCGGAATAGAAAGATGTTGGACACGAGACACGTAGTTGAAACCAAAGACGACTTGGTCTAGTGCTCCGCGACGTAGCACTCGCGCGCAACCGATCGAAATAAAATTTCTACGAAACTGTCTCGCTTCTTTCATTTTACGCCCGCGAGAGGTGGAAGTTCCTGGCGAACGTGAAACTGTACCACTCTTCTTCCATTTGTCAACCCTGTCGCGTGTCACCAAGTACGTTCGAGGCGAATTCACTTTCGTTGCTTTAACTGCTTTGACACGAGCGTTCTCCTTTGGAATTTTATTTTTATTTTCTTCCAGAAATTGACTATTGACAATTGAGATGGAGGTGAGTGTGCGGAAAATTTTGAAATTTGCGTGCAATTTTTAAAAGTGGGACGTGCGCGCGCCGCCAGTTTTCATGTGTGAGTAATTCGGAAGCCACATTGATCAACTCAATAAATCAAAGAGCAGGAAAAAATGATGACGTGAGAAACGCCATTTTTCAAATTGAACTTGACACTCGTAATTACTATCCTCCTGTAGCAGATGAACTCATACATGTAAATAATTTCTTTCTAGGAATCGAACATTGTTTGCGCAAGTTGAGAGACCGATAAAACGTGAAATTGATCAGTTTGACTTCCAAGAGGCGGAATTGTTCAATTGTCTCTGTAAAAACTAACAAACGTGACTCTGCGGCCACACCACTTGACCTGCACGTTAGACAGGCTAAAAGCCACAAGATAACGTATAACGCGCGTCATCCCCCAAAACAATGAGAAACATTTACAACAACCTGCGTGTCCCAGCAGGACCGAGAGGGTTCAATTCAACCAAACCCCCCGCTCTGTCGTCGATCAACCGACGCAACACATCGAAACTGGCAATCAGAACCCGGTACGAAACGCACTTTGGCACTAGCGTACGACAAGTTTTACTGGTTCGAGGTGTAAAGCCTCGGGCGATCTTGCTTTTTACAGTACACGCGACGTCGTTGTATAGGTAGTCAAAGATCTCTCTTGCTTACCGTTGATTCCTCCCCTCTCTCCATCCTGTTCGGGCAGCGATCGTTCTTTCTCTTTCTCTGTTCACGCGAGAATACCTGAGGAAACTTGTGAACGGAGAGAGAGAGAGAACGGAACGGGAACGGGCGCGGAACCGAACGTACCGAGTAGAAGGAGGAGCTGAAGGAGACTACGGTGGTGGAGGTGGAGAGTGAGAGGAGGTGGAGGAGAACGGAACACGAGAGATCGGCAGCACAGTTTCGTGTTCAGCTCAGCTCGGCTCGGCTCAACTTCATATCGTGATCTCTCCGTGTTTTCGTGGCGAACGGTTCTTCAAATTTGTCGCTGAGGATCTACCCGACGATCCGCTTGGTTCATCCGCCGGCCGGGCAACAATCGGAACGGCCAAGTTCCGGCCGTGGATCGAGTGCAAAAGTCGCGCAGAAAGAAAAAGAAAGAGAGAGAAAGAGAGGGAGAGAGAGAGAGAGAGAAGGAGAGGGCTGTTGTCTAACGATCTACCACTGTTTTCCCATTCTTGGCGAATTTCTAAAGTGGTGCGTAGTTGGCGACGTCGCTGACGTACACGGAGGTGAGTGACAGTTTCTTCAGAAAAGCCAAGGCTGCCAGAGTTGCCAGGCTATACGCGACGTGCGTGTGCTGCAGGGAGTTCGCGATACGAGTAGTGGTGACGGGATCTGAGACACTTGGAATCGCTTCGAATCTGTATGTTGTATGTTTGACGACGAATCTGAGTCACTTTGAACAGTGATTCGGTGCTTGGAACTCTCGAAAGGTCTCAAGACAGATCTTGAATCATGGGAGTCTCGAGAGTCTCGAGAGTTTTCGTTTCCTTCTGTTTGTCCTTTGCTTTCTTCTACTTTCCGTTTCACTAAAATCGCTTCAAACATACACTGCGTATCTTAACCTGACGACTGATAAGGAAAACGACACTGAGAAACAATTGGCAATACATCTTTTAGTTCGATTTTTAAGTACCGACTTGACGAAATATGTTTACGTCTTTCTATGCGCGAATTTCAAATGCTATTTGGTTTTCAACGAAAAGAACATGTTTCTCCATTGTGTGAGCAACTAGCTCTGATTAATTAATAACCTTTTCTTCTCGGAAATAAACTTGTTCCAATCAAGAATCTGACAACTAATAACTCATAGTACAAACTTTGGATATATATACTTGCAAAATATACGTGTATGTACGCTTATTATTTTTTAATTCAGAAAACTCGATTTCTAGCGTGATTTTGTCAATTTTCGACGAAGCAAATTTTTTTTCTCTACGCAACATTTGAAAATTGCGTACGGGAGAACAGGAATATAATTCTTTTCTATTGTATCGCTATATTTAGACTGTTATTTACCATTGCTCGGATCTTTGAACACTCTATTGATATATCTCTTATACGTGTCACATATTTTATATCATAATCGATATTCGTATAAATTCATTGTGGGATAGGTAATAGACATTAGACCCGAAATTGTTGCTGGTGATTTTTCATTTATACAATACAAGTTCGGTTGTTCATTTAATCAGATATTGATTGAATTTTGATTCAAATAAATAGAATCCGCGTAAACTCCATTCTACTGTACATAAAAAACGATAGATCACGTAAGTAGGGCATTAGACAGATCAGCAGAGAACAAACGGCTTACGATTCATCGATTCGTTCGGTCTCGCTATCTTTCTCTCGCGCGTCACGATCACCGGAAGGTGTCTATCCCTCTTCCGGTGGTCTCTGGTCCGAGGTAGAAGAATGTTAACACCAGCTGAGAGGTGAAGTCGCGATGATCACAGACTGTGTTCGGAAGGTGGCCAAAGGGACAGGGACTGCGGAGTTAAATAGTGGAGAAACACCCTATCCAAAACGTTTTGCCCACTAATCCTAATACCCAGACCCTATTCTCGAGTTAATGATAGCTCTTCTTAGACGCAACACTTAACTTCCGAGCTAAACTGTTGTGCGGTAGCCAACTCCGCCATCGGGTCCTTCCTAATGAAGACCTTTTGCGACTGCCTCGAACTTGCCACCGTGCAGTTTAATTGGCTGATTCCTCCATTCCAAACAAAAAATATCTGACAAAAATTTACCGATTTCTTGATTTCCCTCAAGCTTGGATTCAGGTTGATTTGCCAAGATAATCTCACGAAGTGGATATATATTTTTTTTTTTTTATTGGCGATCGTATCGCGAAAATGGATGAAGGAAGGGAGAGATATGACTTTTTAAGCTTAGAACTCGTATCGTAACTGTTCTCTTCTTGGGTTTACCAAACGTAAAATTCTCATTTTCATTTTTACGACTCGAAAGTTTATTAGCTCCCGGTAGAAGCAATTGTTTTTTCCCGTTTTTATTTCGTATATGCTCCTTCCTTGCCGCTATAAACGTGTATTATTTGAACGTTAGAACACATATTTTCATATCTGGTGTTGCATTCATATTCGCTTATATAAAAAATTGTCCCACGAAGAATATTTTCACTTATTTTTTTATAATGGAGCATTACCGATAAAAATTCTTCTCGAATGAAATGAAACAATTAGATTAAAATTATTTCCCCTCTGCGAAAGACTCTCAAAACTTCGTGCTTTTATAAGAAACACTTTGCATTAAAAAATAAATAAATAAATAAATAAACGCAGCATCGTGATTTAGAAATTCACCAAAGTTCGTGAACTCTAAGTGAAATTAAGTTTATTAAACACATTACTTCCCCTGTATATATTATAATAATACTAAATGGTGCCATTTGCTCGAAAATGGCCTACGCTTGATTACTATACATCTGTTTTTCGAAGCTACAGGTAGTCGAGGTGTTCACCGAACCTCAGTTTGGAACCGAGACTCGCTAATGCGTCCATGTTCGCGCCTTTCGCGTAATTGGACTCCAGAAAATGGACAGTGTGTACCTTCTCGTTTAATTGGTATTCTCGAGACCTATCGTTAAGCCGCGCAGTTATGCCTTCTCCAAAAAATTTTACCGGTTGACCGTGACTGTTGCACGCTCGCGTTCACACGTATCTCTTTCCACGTTCTTTATTTTCTTCTTTCTTTTTTTCTTTTTAATATTCTCCGACTAAGCTTGTACGACACGTACAAGCGAGCCCAAAGAAAAATCGAAGGCTTCGAGGAGGTCCATGACACTTGATACCGATAGGCTGTGAGGTCAGACTGCGAAAGCGACCAAAGTAGCTGTGTCATCTCGTAGTGGGTACGGTGTCTGTAGCCCAGGTAACGGGTTATCGGTTGTCAGAAAAGATCATTAAAAGTACGAAGTACAAATTGTCACCCCCTCGATAAAAGGAATATCAAACAGTTGAAAATTCGCGATATCTTTCGAGATGAAGTCCCATTTTTCATCTTCCGCTTGATTTGTCCGATGATATTCGTACCTTTTTTAATTTGTGTCGATTTTGTACGATTGATATTGTTTCAAAACTCTTTTCAATAAATGACGTATGTTGAAATAAATAGCATAGTTAATGTAATGTGATATAATGCAACAATTCTGTCGTATTAAGTAAGTAAGAAAGGACGTATCTACTTTTGCTTAAATCAGGTCATTAATGCCAAGTCCAAAAATAGTTTATGTATATTATAAGAGAACTTCAACTACATTGAAACTGAAGAACTGTAACAGTTATATTTCGGATGTACAAGGTCATTATCTCGTCAAACGATGGCAGCATGTTCTATAATTAAGAAGAATGTTATGTAAGATGAATGTATATAAATATACGATCGTAAATGTTCTATTAAAAAGTTGTAACAAAGTACCAAAATTATAAATTTAACTGATATTTAACTGGTATTAATACTGACTACAAACATAGTACTACAACGTATAATAGCATGTATAATTGCAACAGTCACTAATAATAAACACAGTTTCTGTAACATTTTTAATTAAATATTGCCAACATTTTCATGAAGAATTAAATCAGAAACTAATCATTTATAATTTTAATTATCATTGTTACAATTTCAGTTACGATTATATGTTTATTTAGCATTCTTTTCTTATTTTTACTCATAGGACATTGCTGATACCATTTATTTGTACGGAGCGAGATTGTTAAATACTGAAAGTCTTTTTTCGTTTGTCAAACCACCTTTTAATCAGGTACGCCTATTTAAACTAGGAGGATTAATATGATAATGTAATAATTTATAACAATAACACATAATAATTAATTAGTATTTACACCAATACAAATTCTGGATTGTTTAGAGCAGACAATTCCATGAGGATATGCTGCATGTTTACTTCTCTTCATTAAAAGAGCAATTTAAGTTAATTCAAACTTAATAAACTTAAATCAAAGCTAGAAGAATATTTAGCTTAAGTTAATCAGAACTTTGAGAGGAACATTTAATTAAAATTTGCCAATTAATTGTCCTTCGAAATGTCGTCAAGACCTTCCATTTTCTTCCTGATCTCTTCTCCTCTTCGAGACACACCGTTTCAAATGGAACTCTAGAGGAGAAAAGGGAAAAAAAAGAGGAAATTGAAAAATGGAGCAAGACGAGTGGGCGATCACTTTTTTCGCCGATCTCTCGTCAGAAAACAGGAAAGAAGTAGGAAGAGAGGAAACGGAGGAACTAGTAGCGGTGAGGCTCGAGGAAGACGAAAGGGCTCGTTTTAAAGAGGCGAGCATTAAAAACAACAATGTCATTACATTTTAACGACCTGTTCTTGGGCTCTGCCCTCCCTTTTAAGAACGTTCGTTTGCAGGTATGTGGTCCGCGGCTCTCGTGGGAGCTACCACACCGAGACAGAATTCTTAAAGCGATGCACACACTAGCAGCCTCCTCCTTTTCGCCCTCTGTCTCAACTCTTTTCGATGAAAAAAATTATAACTCGATCTCGTTTCATAGTAGAGCTCGTAGTTACGTGAAACGTCTTGGCTGTATTGTATTTCAAATAACATATTGGAGCTCAGAAGTTTGGAGCACTCTTCTCTTTTCATGGACGAAATGAATTTTCTCGCACATTTTTTCTTCCTTTTTTTTTTTGAGAAGTATAATTACAATATTTTTATTTGTGTATATTTTCTTAATTTTGTACTATTTTATATACATGTATTTTGTAGGTGTATAGAAATTAGCGGCTAAATAATAGGTACTATTTTTAAGTATTGAAACTAGTAATTAATTATATTTAAAATCGAAATGTACAAGTATTATAATTATAAGTTTCGATTCTGCAATGAATATAATTAATTACAGTTTACGTAGTATCTAATATCCAGATTGCAAATTTGTATATACTTATAAAAAATTGCATAGAACGCACATGATAAAACATTCAAAGTATAGCGCTTACAATGATATTTATTACTATCACAAAGGTTGATTCTAAATATAATTAATTCCTATTTCAACATTTTCAAATAGTAATACCCAATTGATTTGGATTTCCATTTACAATCCAACAGAATGTGCATGACAAGATATATAAAATATTCATTCAACTTTTATTCCTGAACTATACTACTATACCATTGCTATTACTATTACGTTGAAATAGCATACACTATACTATTCCCAAACGAAACGATAATAT